CCAGCGTCCTTCCGCGGGAACCTGGGGAGACCTCCGGGCCCGGGGAGCCGCGGGCGGCGCGGGTCGCTCCTGCTCCCGACCTCCCCTCTGTTCACAGCGGGTCCGCGTCTGTTCGGATGTCGATCATTCCCCAACACCGCGGCCGCGGCGTGGACGGCGCAGAGCCCCCGCCCGGAGGCCGGCCCGGTGCTTCGGGCGGACCAGACGGACCGGAAGGGAAGGAGCGCGGCGTATCCGCCGGGGCCGCGGGGGCGAGCGGGCCGCCGGCCTCAGGCTCTGCACCACAGCCACCGACTGATCAATCGTGTGCACGGAAGTGCACAGCCGGACTTCCGGGAAGCCTGGCCTGGCCTCCAGCCTGGACTTCTGCCACACGACTGGAAATACCAGCCGTAGCCTCTCTGCGTGCAGACGTCTGGCTGTGTCCATGCATATGTCCAGCTGTGTCCATGCACATGTCCAGCTGTGTCCATGCACATGTCCAGCTATATCCATGCAGACGTCCAGATATGTCCAGCTATGTCCATGCACATGTCCAGCCACTAAAGCTCCCTGTGACCTTCCGAAACGAGGGAATTCTCTCTCTCTCCGGGAACACCTGCACTGAACACTAGGGCTCTGTCCAGGAAGGGCTTCCTCCCTCCCAGGGGACCCTGGGCCTTCCCTCCCCTCTCCCCTGCCCTGAGGCCTTTTTCTGAACCCCCGCCTTCATCCTTCCCTTCCCCCTCTGCCTCCCTTCTGTTCCATTTCCTTTTTCTTCCTCCTTCTTTCTGCCTGGCTCCCTGTCCAGGCCTTCTTTTCAACCCCCTTCTTTCCTCCTCCTCTCCTTCCTCCCTAGGCCTCTTGGCAGGGTGTCTCTGCCTCCTTCGGAAAAGACCCCCCTCCCTTGATGTTCCCACTCTTGGAACTATCAAAATTCTCTCCAATTACCTTGACTGTTAGATAATATGCTATCAACTGAAGAACAGTGTGATCACCATGGCAATTTGTCAGAACACAGAATGCTCTGCGTGGGGCTGGGAAGGTGGCTCACTGGTAGTGCTTGTCTTGCATGCATGAGGCCCTGGCAGAAAAAGCCAGAAGTGGTGTTGTGGCTCAAGTAGTAGAGCACTGGCCTTGAACTGAAGAGCTGAGGGACAGCGCCCAGGCCCAGAGTTCAAGCCCCACAATACGTGCTCTGCGTCCCCTGCTCTGCATGTGTCAAACGCCTGCTTGGAGAGCCAGCCCAGGTGCAAGCTTGCAGCCCTCCTTGGCAGTGGATTGCTGCTGTAAGCATGAGCCCCTACTGAGCCTGGTCCTGGCTGCGTGTGCTTCTGAGGAAAATGCTCCATCCACCTGCCAGATCAGGATGTTAACCTTTCTATGGGCTTTATGCTTTCCACAAAAGGATGGCCATTTCACTGTCCATCTGGTTAGGCAGCATAGAAGATCTAAGCGACTCCAGCTATCCCCAGAGGATCCAGCCTCCAACTCTATTCTCTTGGAATAGTTCTCATGGAGGATTGGCTGAGGGACAGAACCAGCTTCATTGTGGAGGCTTTCCAGATTTTAGAATTTCCCTTGCACTGTAGCCAGGCCATTCGACTGCAGCATGGCCTGAGGGACCCCTCACAGAGCAGCTCTTGCTGAGTCAAGCTGGGTTTCAGCAAAGCTCTGCAAGAAAGAAGCAAGCAAGCTCTTGCCACAGAGTTGGGAGTGTACTCTGAGTTGTACAGGTTGCCCGTGTCCTTGAATATGAGATTCCTTCTGCCTCAGCCTCTCCAGAATTAATGTGAAAGGTAATCGTTGTTTAAAATTCAGCAAGAATGTGTAATATAAAGCTGGACAGATCTCAGGTATATACTATAGATACGTTAAATGTATCAAGACAATTAAATAACTTCGTTGGAAATTAGTGAGTGTACTTCAGACTTTCGGGGACTCGGGTATGTCCAAACTACAAGAAATTGGGGGAAATAAAATTGAATGGATTGTGTTTCTATTCTTTAATTTATTTTTTTATTTTTTGCGAGTCGTGGGGCTTGAACTCAGGGCCCAGGCACTGTCCCTGAGCTTCTTTTGCTTAAGGCTAGCAATCTGCTACTTGAGCCACAGCACCACTTCTACCTTTTTCTATTTATGTGGCGCTGTGGCTCAAGTGGTAGATTGCTAGCCTTAAGCAAAAGAAGCTCAGGGACAGTGCCTGGACCCTGAGTTCAAGCATGCTAGGCAAGCACTCTACCACTGAGCCACCTTCCCAGCCCCGTTTTCTATTCTTTATGCATCAGCTGCTATTATTTCAAATACTCAAATGAAGTCAAAGAAGCAAGAAAGGGCTGGTGTGTAAACAGTCACTCCTCCACCTGTGCTGTCAGCACTGTGGGCATTTGTGGAGGATAGCAGGAGCACCAGGGACCGCGCTGTCTGTGGCTTTGGCAGGACTACTTCCAGTAGGGTTCAAGTCCATGCACAGCACAATGAGCCTGTTGTGTACCCCTACATTGCTAAGGGAAAGAAATATAAAGGATTCAGGTGCCCAGTAAGCACAAGGCCATAAAATAAAAGATTTTGTGGGGAGGAACCTCTGTCGGGATTTGAGAGACATACCTTCCCATCTGCCTCCCATCATTCCAGGAACAGTCCTTTCCATTTGCTGGTCCCTCACATTATGAGTTAAATTCACAGTTGGCATGTGCTTATTCAGATACACTGTTTCAAACATAATGTTTGCCAATCCAGGCACTGGTGGCTCATACCTGTAACTGTAGCTACTCAGAAGAGGATCAGGATTCAAAGCCAGCTTAGGCAGGAAAGGCCTTGAGATTCTTATCTCCAATAAACTTCTCAGAAAAAGCTTGAAATAGTGGCATTGTGGTAGAGCACTAGCCTTGAGCACAAAAAGTCTCAAGGACAGAACCCAGGACCAGCACACACACACACACACACACACACACACACACACACACACACATTACATACTACTAAGGATGCAATTAACTAGCTTCCCTCCCCCCAAGTATAAAATAATAATAAAAAAAATACTGGCCTTGGCAAGCTCACCGAAAGAAAACTATTCTGAATGCGCAGTAAAGATCTTGACCATGCCCAGAGGAAGGTTGGGCTTTGCCCTCACCCTGGGATGGGGGCAGTCCCTGAATCTTCAGATTAGCCTTTGTTATGACAAGAGCACACCGCAAGGGGAGCCAAAGACCCTGGGACCAAAGGCCAACACCGCCTGTCACAGATGATCCTACAAGTACCGTTGCTGAGAGTGTCTTCCCTGAGGTCAGTCTTTTCACCTTTTCCTCATCCTGTACAGGAGGTACACCTAATAAAGTAAGCCCCAGGAGGAAGACTCCGATGAAATATTCGCTACAGGCTACATGGCGAGTTTTGCCTTGAGATAAAGAATTTTTTAACAGATTAGGAGGGACCAGACCTGTGACGGGGTGTTCTGCAAAGAGAAGGCTGGGGCTTCCTCTGGAGTTAGGCAACCCGGATGGAGAGGTAGCCCTTGGTTTGCCTCATAAGCTGAGTGCTCAGCACTTGGTAAGTGCAAATGGAACATAACGTTTGCTTGGTTTACCTGTCACCCATCATCTGAGGCAACCTGTACCTTCCACGTTCTAATCCAGGGACGGCACGGACCAGTCTTCTCCTTCGGGAAAGGAGACTTGCTCGTGACAGTGCTCAGGAGGAAAGTGGATGGTGGGCAACTTTAAACAGCTATGTTACAATGGGTCTGCTCTACTCTCCACTTCTCTTTCATGTAAATGGCCAAGACGTTCCTCATTGTTAAAACGGACTGCCATCTGTCTTGCCTGGCATTTCACTTGATGTCTGCTGTCCAGGATGTCAAGCTTATGAGCTGTGTCTGTCACCACATGTAAACTTCCCTGCCAGATTTACACTGTCTGCAGATTTGAACAGCAAGTTTTCTGTTTCCAAAGATTGAGCCAGAACAAAATGCTCCATTTCCCATTACTATAGCAATCTAATCTTTAAAATGTAATTGCTCTAACAGTCAATCTTTGCCTGCCTGGTCTCGATACCACCCAATCCATATTGCTCTATTTTATACATAAGGCCTTAAATGCCTTACGAAACTCTAAACTACTCTACTGTATTCCTGTGAGGTTTAGCTGAGTGTTGCCATCTACCGTGGTCAGGGAATAGCTAGCGTGTGGCCTGGCCTCATCTTTTAGAGGCGCAGTCTCTCTTTGCCTCCTGTCCCAGTGCTCACACACCATACATGTAAGTATCAAGCCCAGGCATTTTGGGGAAGCAGTGTCAGACATTGATAACTTCTTAGAATCTATTAATTTTCCCTTTCAGAAAAATACTTTCCTGCCTGAAATCTTTGTGGTCCTTCTACAGCTCTCTGTGATGCCTTAACAGTTAAAGAGTTGTAAATTATGCCTGTCAGCATGATGTCTCTTCAGAG